CAAGGTTACAGGGGGGGTGAAAAGTGCCGCAAATGCCTTCAAGAAAAGCATGGTACGACTGTGCTCGACTTGGCTCCAGATTTCTTTGGAGCTCTTAATATTAATAATAATAATAATAATAAATTATATATTGACTATCAGAAAGCGTACGACTCCATACCACACAGCTGGCTGTTGCAAGTTCTAGAAATCTACAATGTTGACCCCAAAATCTGCCGATTCTTTAAAGAGACCATGCCTTCATGGACGCCCTCCCTCAACCTCAGGTCTGCTCCCTTTGATATAACATCGCCAAAAATTCCAATTCGTAGAGGGATATTCCAAGGAGATTCTTTTAGCGCCCTTTGGTTTTGTCTAGCCTTAAATCCACTATCGCGGATAATCAATGAAACAGGTTATGGATTCTCACTACGAACGAGATACAGACGTCATCTCATTACACACCTACTATACATGGATGACTTGAAGATATATGCTGCAACAAAAAACCAACTTGAAAACCTTCTGCGTACCGTTCATAAAATCAGCGCAGATATTGGAATGACCTTTGGTACGAGCAAATGTCAGACTGTTTCAATCATAAGAGGAAAACTATGCGAAACACCAGAATTGAATCTAGATGAGAAAACTATTATCTCCGCAATGTCGACTGAGCCGTATAAATATCTTGGAATGCTACAAACACACAAAATAGAACATGGAATTATTAAAAACCGCCTATCGACCGCCTTCCGACTGCGACTTACCTCCCTTCTAAAGACAGGTTTGAATTCTAAGAACCTCTTTAAAGCAATAAACACTTATGCCCTACCGGTTCTTACATATTCTTTTGGAATAGTCAAATGGACCCATACAGACTTGGAATCCCTAAATCGCCTGGTACGAACAACCTTAACCAAATTTAGAAATCACCACCCAAAGCGCACGGAACGGGTGACCCTCCCTCGAAATCTTGGAGGTAGAGGTTTACTGGATGTTGTTAATGTCTGTCGGGAGCAAATAAAGAGCCTCAGAGAATACTTTTATACCAAGAACAGCAACCTTTACGTCACGGTGTCTTCAGCTGATGTCAAATACACCCCCTTGAACCTCAGTAGAAACAATATGGTGCTTTTCCAACTCCTACATCAATCACTAATAAAATAGCTACTTGGGGAGCCAAGGAGTTACACGGACGGTACCTAAATGAGCTAGATCAACATCACATTGAAAAGGTGGAATCATTGCACTGGTTAACATCGGGTTATCTCTACTCAGAAACCGAGGGATTCATAGTGGCTATGCAAGACCAAGTTATTCCAACACGCAACTACCGGAAACTCATCCTAAAGGAGAATATATCAGACAAGTGCCCTAGATGTGATTCTGGAAGTGAAAACATAGAACACATTTTATCAGGGTGCAGTAATCTTGCGAGTACAAAGTATCTGGAAAGACACAACAGAGTCGCATCAATCATCTACTTGGAGATCCTCAAACAATTCAACATTGACCGAGAAATCCAAGAGCCCTACTACAAATATCATCCACCACCAGTAGTCGAAAATAATAGTTTCAAAATATACCGGGATAAAACAATCTTAACAAATAAAACCGTTAGAAGTAACAGACCGGACATCACGCTTATAAATAAAATTAAAAAACCAGTTTTACTAATTGATATTTCTATTCCTAACAACAACAATATACAAAGCAAGTTTACAGAAAAAATAACAAAGTATCAAGATTTGAGAATAGAAATAAAAAATATATGGCAAATGGAATCGGTCCAGGTAGTCCCGTTGATTGTCTCGACCATTGGAATTATCCCGGTCAACCTGAAAGAACAATTAAAAGTAATTGGAATACCTGAAAATACTTACCGCCTAATGCAGAAATCTGTGCTGCTTGATGCTGCTAACATTGTTCGTTCCTTTCTAGGTGATTAACAATAGCACCTTATCTTGCCCCATGGACCGATAAGGCAGCTTTAAACCTGTTCTGAGCAGTGAAAAAAAAAATATAATACTTTATTTTTCATGAATATCATTTACAACAAATGTAATTTACAAATAAATAATAATAATAAAAAAAAACATGCATAAAAGGAACTGAAGATTACAGTTGAGGATTGGAACCTTTGGTGTTACACAGCAAAATAAAAACACTAAATCACCACAATACACCAAAACACGCGTCCAGTGTAATAGTAAGTGTATTTTGGTGTATTGTGGTGATGTTTTTAAGGAACTGAAGACAATTAAAATTGGTTTAAATTCAGTTCCTGTCAGATCACGATATCAGCTAGTATAAATGTGTGTTTTGTAGCTAAATTATTTTACTGTACCTTATCTACAAATATAAGTAAATTATATAGTAATCCTATGACTAAGAGAATTTAGTATGAAATTCAAAGAAATAAACACACAGAAAGTATTTTATACTAAAATAATTCTGAGGTAAAAAAAACCAAGAGGGAAGAGAACTATCCAGAAAATGTTTTTAAGTTTATTTTTAAATGCAACACTCTGAAGATTTATCATTTCTGCTGGTAAACAGTTGTAAAGCTTCGAAATATTAAATGAGAAACATCTAGTGAACTGTTTTGTGAGGTGGTGGAGTAATAAGTCCCTTAATTCTAAGGTTTAAGTTGTGCATATCTGTTCTGAATTTTATTTTATTCACCAAGTATGGTGGACACTTCTTAGAAATAACTCCATGAAATAAAACCATCTTACGTCTGTTTTCCAGATTCAACCACTTAGCTTCTTTTAACTTATGCGAAATGGGATCATATTTTCTTATACCATAAATAAAACGTAGGCAGCTTTTTGAAGCTTCTCTATTCTGTTAATGTCAATTTTTTCCAGACATGGTCCGTATATGACATCACAGTAGTTGAAATGGGATAAGACAAGTACTTCAGCTAACTTTATCTTTAAAGTTTCCGAAAGCAACTTTCGATGTGGATATAACATTTTTAAAGAGATGTAAGACCTTTTGATACATTGAAAGACATGTTCCTTAAAGCGAAGATTATAATCTATAATTAATCCCAAATTCTTGGCAGATTTAGTAAATTGTATTTTTAGTTCAGCTAAACTTAGTGACATTATGTCAGATAGAAAATCCCGGTGTTTAGCAAATATCATTACAGATGATTTATCTGGATTTATTGCCAGGCCGTGATGATTTGAGACTTGTATTAATTTATTTAAATCGTCATTTATTAACGTTTGAGCTAATGTCCAGTCATCGAAATTAACCGAAAAGAAAAGTTGTGTATCGTCTGCGTAGCAGTGTGAATTAACATTATCTAGGTATGTAGAAATATTACTTGTATATATTGTAAAAAGTAAGGGTCCCAAGATAGATCCCTCTGGAACTCCACAACTAATAACTTCCCTCGGTGACTCCCCTGTAGTAGTTTTTACAAATTGCATTCTATTACTTAAATAATTTTCAATTAGATCGACTGCATTTTCCGAGAAGCCTACATAATGTAATATAGATAGAAGTAGCTTGTGACTAATTCTGTGAAAGGCTTTTGAATAATCTAATAATTAATTTAATAATGTTGGATTAGACTGTATGTATATTGATATAGACTGTTTCAGAACAAAAACACACTCACCTACTCTCACTCTTTTGAGACACCATTTACAAGTGAACTTATTTTTTTAAATATATTTGTTAATATCTGCGCTTAAACAAAATATCTAAGGTTTCTTTCTTTTTCATAACATAAGCACTGTCGCTTTACCTTTTATGTGTTTCAAAAATGCTTAATATTTAAATGTATAAAAATATATTAATGTAGTCAATATAAAATAATGATTTATTTTATAAACATTATATATTTCATAACTTCCATAACATGACGCTTCTATATAACCTCAAAGCGAATGTATTCGTGGCATGAATATCAAAAACGTAAAAAAGTTTTTTTTTTTTATTTCGATAGCAGCGGTTTTTAGTTTCATATAACAAGAATTACACACAATACGTGCTGTTGACGTTTTAATTACATCCCACTTGGTATAAATCATAGTAAAATATAGAATAGTTGATGCCATCAAAAATTTCCTTGCCATCAAACATTTTTTGCGTTTAACATTTTATATATTTTTTTATTAAATTTATTATTTTATTCAAATCTTCTGGAAAAATCGTTACTTCAACAAGAACAAAATTATTTGCAACATTTTTGCAAAAGAAAACAATATCAATCGCGAGACAAAACTGCCAAATAAAAGCTCCTTCTTTCATCATTTTGAATAATTTAAAACAATGAGTGATAATCATTTTATTACTTATTGTTTTATTAACATTAATTATGAGGCACTCTTTTAGCTATAAGTTTCTTTAGCGTTTATTTTTTTATTTGTAGCTAATTAAACTAACAATTATTCAACTTATAAACACTCTTGTTGAGTTTATAAAAGGAACTAGTATAATAATTTTTATTACATCTATGATTGCCTTCTTTTTTTAAGTGTTGAGATATTTCTAGATTTTTTATATTTAATGGTATTTCTCGACTTTTTTCCTTTTTCCTCTTTTTCGTCTTTATATTCTGTCTCATCAGCTTATTAACTATAACTATACCATGTCATTGCATATGTTATAACTCTTTTGTTAAAATCTTTTTACTACTTTACTAGTTTTTTACATATTATACATCCACCAAAATATTTAAGACTAAAATTGTGTTTATTATTTTCTCACTATTTTATATTGTTCAAAATTTAAAAGCATATTGTTTGTTTCATAACTATAAACAGTGTTTAAATTTATCAATCTTTGATATTGACAAGTCCTCAAAATAATAACTTTAGTAAAGAACATTTTTAAAATACAGAATATTTTCTTAACTATCCGAGAACTAAAAATTTCTATTTTGATATTTTTGCAAAAACCATAAGTTTCAAATGCAAGGGCAGGGTATATAATACTCCCTTGCAATATATACCCTTAAAGTGATCTGCCAAGATATTTAATAAAGTTCTTGTTTGTTTCAGGATTGTTTCGGACAGACGGCTTAAAACTAGCAAACACGATGTGCGACTATCAGTTTGTTAGCAGCGAGCAAAGTCCCGTTTATGAAAGTTTTATTCGCCTCGATATCCTTCTAGCTACCCAAAAAATATTCGATGTTCTTATAAATTCCGAGCAAGGTTAGTAATATTAAAAGTAAAATGTGCTTACATTAATACAATTTTTTTTATTATTTTTATCACTAAGGCATATATGCAATTTTTTTTTGGTTTGTTTTCATTTTATTTATTACTGTGTATTATTGTAACAAAACAATCCATGGGATTCTACCATCTATCAGACATTTATTTAACAGTACTTCTACGGCATCCGCTAATGGTTTTCCGCCCATCTTCAGCATTTCAGGTGTAATACGATGTTCCCCTGAGCTTTTGCCATTTTTTATTTGTTGAAGTGCGTACTTAATTTCTGTGGTTGATATTTCTGGCATGTCTTCTGATCCTACGTTTGTAATATGTTTTTGTACTCTATTATATTATATATACTCTATTATATTAATATATTATATATTGGTATAACAGACTGATAAAGTTTTTCGTAGAATTTGTGTATTTCATTTCTAATTTCATGTTTGTCTGTTGTTATAATGCCATGTGTGTTTTGTTGTTATCTTTATTATTTTTTGTTTTCCGCGCATTTGCTTGCGTCTTAACACTTTCATGCTTCTATTGTTTTCAATTGTTTCCAAAATTTGCATTACAAAAATATTCCCTTAGATCTTTCCTTATTTCTCTTTTAGTTGTTTTATTTAATGTGTCATATTCTGGGGCATCTCTGTCAGTCTTTCTTCTTTCCCTTATTAGTTTTGTCGTTTCTAGTTTTAATTTAGTTTCCGATCGGTGTTTCATTTTACTACATATTTTCCTTGTTGCTGTAGTTATGCCCTGCTTTAGATTATTGAGAATGTCGTTGGGGTCTTGATATCTGAGTGTCTGTGGCTTTAGTCTCTTTTCAAGCTCTTTTTGATAGGTTTCCTGATTTAGTTGCAGAGCATCCCTTGTAGGAAACATTGATCTGGTAATTAATTTTCTCCTTTCTATATTAGTATAGATTTGTATTTTGGCGCGTACTAGTCTGTGGTCACTTCTTGTATGAAAACTGTTTAACACATCGACATCTTTACAGATTGTATTCTTGTTGGTGAGGATAAAGTCTATTTGATTTTTTACTCGTCCGTCTGGACTTCGCCATGTCCATTTTTTCTGAGTTTGTTTTTGAAAAAACGTATTCATACAGTATAATTTTTTGTTGTTGAGAAAGTTTACAAGCATGTCTCCTCTGTCGTTCCGTTCCCCGAGATCAAAGTTTCCTATATAATTTGTATCACCCGATTGCTTCTTCCCTATCTTGGCATTAAAGTTTCCAGTTATGATTACGTAATGTGTATTTTCAAGGTTCCTAGCCCGGCTAATGTCTTCATATAATTCCTCCATCAATTCACTGCTCGCTGAGCTTGTAGGTGCATAGCAGTGTATCAGCTGGATACTGTATCTTTCGTTTAAGTGTGTATTATTAGACATATCACTCTATCTGATACTGAATGGTATTTAGTGACGATCCGTGAGGCTGCCCGAATTTGTAGCGGGATGGAATTCTGAGACTTGAGCTCTACCCATCTGGGGTAATCTTGTTTTAGATTTCGACTCTAGCATGGTTCTAAGAATGTAAATGGCAGTTAAAACGCCCCGCTTGCCGAGCGTGTTGGCGAGTATTATCTCAGCCGCCCACTATGGGTACAGACGCTGTTTGCAGCCGCTCACTTTGAGTCAGACGCTGCGTACTGTGGACTTCCTTAGCTTCACCTTTATCACTTCGAGACCTTACCAGCATGGGTGGCCCTACCAGTAGCTACGCTACCGCCGGTATCGCTCCCTGGATATTGAAGGTTACTGAGCCCTCCCACCACGACAAAGTGAAAGTCCTGGGAAGAATATCAAATTCATTTACCCAATAATATGTATAAAAACATTTTTAGAAACCAGTGTCCCCAATACTTGCTTTGCTTTGTGAAAAATAAAATCTAGAAATTTTTTATTCCAATGGTCCGATTCTTGTTACATCTCCGAAACTATAATTTTGTATGAAGCCAATCTATAAATTAACTTATCCCCCAAAATATGTATATAAAAAATATTTAGAAACCAAGGTGTCGAATACTTTATGAAAAATAAAATAATAATTATTCAAGAGTTTGAACATTTCGCATCAGAACTACAAGTTCATACTTAATGTACTAGTTATATTTTTGGTTTCTTAATATTTTGTCTGTACCATATCTGGACTTTGCACCATACACACGTGAATAACAGATTTTTAAATTTGTGTTTATAATTTTTAGGTATCAAGAGAGGATACGAATTATTTTTGAAGGGATATTCTTACAAAAAGGTGACCTAAGGTAAGATTTAATTATTTAAAGATATAGATTTTTATTTAAAGGTGATCTAAATTATTCATACATTTGATCAACAAAAATGTAAAACTTAAAAAAATGTATTGCTTCTTTTAATTGAAGGTTTCTGTAGAATTGCAAATAATCTTGTTAATATTAGCTATATTTATTTCAGTTGTCTAAATCGTGCGGATTTGATACGAATATACGATGGAAGTACCAACTCTAACCCTGCCATTGGAGTTTTATGCAACGAAGGAGGCGAAATTGAAATTTTGTCTACGGGATCAGAATTGTTTATCGAATTTGTCGCAAATTCTGATATACCCGGCCAGGGTTTTAAGGCTAGGTACCAGTTTCAGATGATGGAAACTGATAACATCGGTAAGATATTAATTGAAAATGATAATTACATACATGATTATTTATAAATTGACGCTATAATTCTATTATATACCAAATATAAAATGCTGTTTTAAAAAATTATTCTTTAAACATTAAGTTGCTTTCAATTATTTTGAAGATATGGTTAGTTTAGTTTAATCAGATTTAGGTAGAGTTAGATATTATTACTGCATTATTTATTAGACTAGAAAATTTCTCATATGTCGACAGAAGGCAACGGAAAAATTTAACACTATTTCTATATTAACAAACTAAATAGAGGCTTAAATTATTTTTTTGAATTTATGTTTATAGATATTTAAAATACTCAATACTCAATCAATGTTTGTTTTGGTTAAAGTAGTTCTTTATTTAATAATTCGAGTTGAAAAATTTGGGAGTAAAAATTCTTTATAATAGAATTGTAGTTATCCTATATATCAAGAAGATTTTATAAGTACGGTTTTACAGATCCAGGTACAATCACTTAAGTTGAAGTCAATCTGGTCAAAGATCTGGTAAAAGAATTTAAGTTAGTGAGGTAGATTTCAAAGCTTTTCCTTTTTAACATTGAAAATGTTTCTGTTATCCTATATAAGGGAGCCCAAATCGAATTAAAATGCTACATTTGCCACACCATGACGTCATATATACAAGGGTATAGGAAATCTCGGCGCAGCGGCGGCAGTCGGCCAGCGCGCGCAAAAACCATTACATGGCTAATTGTTTATTGATGTATCTTTATTAGTTTAAAAGCAAAAAATATGTGGTTTGCTTTGGTACCTTGTCAAGACATAAGCGAAACTTTTAAACTGTTTCTTTCTTTCATTTAGGCCTTCGTTTTTCGTTAAATGAAAGTTATATTAAAAAAAGTCTATTTTTAAACCAAATTTTCGCATGATTGAAATGAGTTATTCATGTTTAAAGTTTTTTTTGGTCATAAGCGCTAATGGAAATGTTTTTTTGTAAATAATTATAAAAAATTACTCCCTACGAAGACTTTATTGTGTACTGGATCAAAAAATAAGTATTGGTTTTCTCTATACGGTGGTATTAATATATCGATTTTTGATGATATTGCCCTTTTACCCGATCTAATTTTGTACTACTTTCGGAATAAGGGTCCCCATATCATGTATTGTAACTCCATCCCTGAAAAAATTCAGCTTGTGACGAAGTGAGACGTAAAGTCAAAATAAGCTTTAATCTACCTACATCATAGGTAGGTGTAGGTACTCTAGGCATATTCTACCTAGACAGTAGCTGACATTAGTAACTAATTTGTTATCTGATAAGTAGTTGTCATTATATAAGTTTAATCATCTTATACCTCCTATAACGGTAGGTTTTGGATTTTTTCCTGACTGGTTTGTTAAACAAAAATATAGTGGGCCATATAAAGGTCTAACACAATACATGTATTGAATGTACTTATTTTAACCAATGCATTGTTTTGTTTTTTTAATCTCACAAATAAGAAATGTTTTATAGTTTTTATTATAAAAAACAGTGATTATACAATTTATTTGCACCCCTTACACTGTTTTCTGTAAGGGGTGTAACCAGGAGTATATTTCGTAACCTCTTACGATATAAGAGGGCCCCCACAAAGTGTTTTATTACTTAATGCTTAGATTAAGATTTAATAATATATTTGTACATAAAATAAAATAGACTAGAAAGTCAATTAATTAATATTGACGCAATTACTAAATAATTACAAGATTTTTTTTCTAATTATTTTAGTGTATTTTTAGTCACCTAATTATAAAGGAGAGATATACAACCATTGCATTATTTTACTCACAAATAAATGTTTTATGGTTTTTAATATAAAACAAGGATTAATGTATTATACACCCCTTAACCCAAACACTCCAAGGAGGATATTTCGTGACCCCTTATTTAAAGTGGACAAGCTTTATTAGTCAATGTTTTAATTACCCAGCGTCTTTAATAAAAATCTAATGTAATTTTTCATAGAAATGATCTGACATAAAAAGCAAATTTTATCTAAAAACTTTTTGATTATCTACAAGGACTAAACTGCTGACAAATGTCTGTATACTAATGCCAAAGTAATGCCAAAAATACAAATTAAATACCAAAATTTCTCATATAATGCCCCACTAATGCCAAGCTGATTCCAATATAATACCACTAATACCACGAATAATATGTCACACATTTGTTTAACGAATTAACCTGTAACGTAATAGTTGTAATAGTGGTAGGTACGTGCACAGATTTTTTCCTAGGTAACTTAAAAGTCGTTAAAAAGTCTAATTATATTTAAACAAGATATAATTCCAACTAATTGCATTATAAGGCCAATAATGCACAAGTAATACCATTAACATTTTAGCGTTTTTAATTTGTGTAACTTATTTCTTTAAAAAATTAACCTGTAACAATAGTGGTAGGTACGCGCACAGATTTTTTCGCTAGGTAACTTATTAAGTCGTTAAACAGGCCTATAAAACCTATAACAACATAGGTAACTAATATTTATAATTTTATTCGAGTTTTAATCTAAAATAATAAATGTTTTACTGGCGTATTTCTGAAGTGTTCATTATTAAAAGTTGATATTCTTCAAGTTATGTGAAGTAATAAGTAATGTTTCCGGTGAGACCGCGTATATGTCACCGGATTCTGGTTAGTATAAAGACTTTTTTCTATAGAAAGAGTTTTTTCTATATTTTTCTTTCAAATCATGACTAATTCTTCATATTCTTTTAAATACTACAGTGTTTTTTTTCCTAAAATGTTATACTTAATTTTCGCTTAAAATTAAAAAATCACAAATGGAGGAAAATATACGTTATTGAATAAAGTTTATACAAATCACTTTACCATAACAAAAAAGTAAAAACATGTCATGGCGGAAGATATTCAGGTGGCATTTCACATATTTATCTATTAAAATCGAGATTAAAATAATAAACTTGAGTAACATGTTATACATGAGATAGAAAGTTTCAGAATCGATTAATACGCAATACGCTACGCAGTCAAGCGTAGCGTCTTCAAGACTCTTCCATCGGCCAGGGTCACGACGCCGCGCGCCGCGAGAGATCGGCCTACGTTTGGCTAAACAGGCTGGACACGGTGGACTACGATATTGGCGAGTCTGAATATTTATAAAAATTTGCAAAGTAAAATATGTTGGAAAAATAATTAATCCATACATAATATATAAAAGCTCAAAGGGTTCTTTTGTTGCATCCATCCCGTCGAAACCGCTTCACCAATCTTGATGATTCTTTTTTTAAATGAAAGGTATATATGTGTAGATTTGTTATGAAGTATTTTATAGTACTTAATAGCTATTTCTTTGTGTAAAACGACTAAATACTAAAACATACCTGAAAAACACTTACTAACAATACCTCCAGAAATAAATTATTTGTCATTGTCAGTGGTGTGTCAGTTAGATTATATATTAAGGTTTTAGATATTTTAGGAGTGAGTTCATACCACCAGCTTTAGATACATAAATATTAGCACAAAGGTTCGTTTAAACGACATTAGCGAATTAGCTACACAAAGAGATTTTAGGAAATTTATCCTCTTAGAGAGTAAAATTATGTCGGAACAGTTTGTTGTATGAAAATTCCTTACTATTTGGTCTAGAAGAATGAAATCCTACAAAAAGAATTAGAAGAAATTTTTGAAATTCATCAACCAAATGGGTAAAGTTAGTAAAAATTTATATAAAACTTGGTGACCTCTGGATTATACACATAAAAATTGGCACAAGGATAAAGCGAATTTATGAAATTTATACACTTAGGGAGTAGAATAGGGAATGAAAGTTTGCTGTACGAAAATGCAATACTATAACATTATAAAGACAGTATAAAATTTTATGCAAGGGTTTATTTAGTGACATCATAACGAAATATATCTTCCTCAATTATCCTTCAAAGAATAAAAAATAACCTATAAAGAGAGTATTAGTGCTCTTAATAAATAAAAAAAAGATGAAAATTAAAAAAACATCTATGCTCACTAGCTCTCTATAAAGAAGTAAAAAATCATTTAAATCAATGCATGAACGATTCGAGGTGTAACGCGAACGTAGTCGCGGGAAAAACCTAGTAATTTATTAAATTATTTTATTTAACTGATTAATTTTCATTGAAAAGGAATTTTTGTAATTCGTCACTATATTAGTTAAAAACTAAGAAACTCATATCAATTTTAAGTTTTGCGATTTTGACATATACTTTTTACAAAATCTGAACACATTTTAAAAGAAAAAAAGCTTTTGATAACATTTGTGTAAATTGACTTCAAGTTGTATAACATAAATTTCTACGACCGGTCTACCTAGTGGTCTGCAGCATCGCCTTGTGGTGCAAACGTGGGCCTGTTAATCTGTGACGTGACGCATAACAGCCAAGAAAAACAGAAGCGTGGCTAAGAATTTAGTAATTTAAAAAAAATGTCTTTTAGATACAGTAGTAGGTATTAAAAAGTTTTGTGTTTAAATGGGGTTTGCCTTTAACAGTTAAAAAAGTGTAACTTTCCGTAAGAATTCTTTATCTGTCATCGATCATGATCTGTCATCATGTTAACCTGATGTTTTGTATGTTATTTTGTTTTTTTGCTTGTTTGTTTTACGGATAGGTGCGATCGCATAATTATTATTGATAATGTTTTATTTAATGTTAACATTACTACTTTTTCAGTGAATGTTTAAATCTGTTGTTTTTTGTTAAGTTCGTCATTTAAACATATGTATGTAATACACTCATATTAACACTAATCATATTTTTACGTTTTTATTCATCATTTTCAATGCCCCCCGGTTGCATCTTTGTAAAGGACTGTGAATTTTTATACAGGGTGAGTTTCCTACGATGTTCTCTATGGGTATCTTGGAAACTACTGGAGATAGAGAGTCGGTTAAATGGGGAAAGAATTGCAGTTTTGTGGGATCATAAATATGCGCCTTTCAGATTTATGAAAAGTTCATGGCTTACTAGATATTTTGAAAAAACAAATTTCGGCTGTTTTAATAATTGTCCCTGATTCCATTATAAGCTATTTTAGACAAAAAGTTTTCAGATAAAAGTTATAGATAATCACATCCTTAATGAGACCGTGTCCTCTGTTTTTTCTAAATGTCATTTTTGACATATCACACAAACATATGTTTTTAAATGGAAACCATAGTTGGCCATGACTTCAAAAAAGCGGTATTTTTAAGCTTTTAGCGATATAAGCTATAATATGTTTTCTTCGAAAAATTACTGAGTTATAGCCAATTCTTATCATTTTTAAACAATTTCACTTAGTTAGCCATGGAAACAAGTTCAATCGCCGTTACTCTCAGAAATGTGAAGCTGTCACATTCAAACTTTGTAAATTAAAATAAACAAAAATTGTAAATATGAATTTCTCAAATGAAGAAAAGCGTGTAGATACTCGCGTATCAATAGAGTGTTTCCAAAATACCTTTCATTATGCCCCCCCCCCCGCATAATGAAAGAAATGTTAAAAATTATTGATATCATAATAATACAAACTCAGGGATAGGAAGAGGTGAACTAATTGCATGGGCCTCCTCGATCACCTGACCTATCCATTTTAGATTTTTTTATGCGGTATGGTTAAAAATAAGGTTTACTAAAGAACTTATGAATTAAGAGAGGCACTCGAAGTGGCGGTAAGAGAGAAGTTTAATTAAGTCAACCCGTCCTTTTGTGAGAATAGGTAATAATTCAGTTTTAAAAAGATGTAACTCTCTCTCAAAACAATGGGGTATTTTTGGAACATTTTCTAAAATAACTTAAAGTGTATGCAGTGACTACAGCGATATTATTTTTTTAAGTTTTAGTTTGTGTAATGTAAATTCTAAAGAACCGTTTAGTAATATATTCTGACTTTTGATAAGTTATAAATCACAAAAAAATAAGAATGCCATGCAATCTAAGTGAAATTAGTCAAGAAAGATAAGAATTGGCTATAACTAAATTTAACTTTTCTAACAAGTCTTTAAAATCGTTCTCTAAAAAACATAACATTCACCGGTCAACGTATCCTCGAAAATGTATGGTCAAGAAAAGTTTAACCAATAATCTTACACGCTTTTCTTCATTTGAAAAATTCATATTTACAATTATTGTTTATTTTAATTTACAAAGTTTGGATGTGGCAGCTTCACATTTATAAGAGCAAAGACGATTGTTTCCATGGCTAACTAAGTGAAATTATTTAAAAACGATAAGAATTGGCTATAACTCGATAATTGTTCGAAGAAAACATATTACAGCTTATATCGCTAAAAAGCTTAAAAAATACCGCTTTTTATGAAGTCATGGCCAACTATGGTTTCCATTTATCGCTGAAAAGCTTAAAAAATGGCACTTTTTATAAAGTCATGGCCAACTATGGTTTCCATTTAAAAAAACATATGTTTGTATCAAATGTCAAAAATAACAGGCTTTAAAAAAAAACGGAAGACACAATCTCATTAAGGATGTGATTATCTACAACTTTTATCTGAAAACTTTTTGTCTACAATAGCTTATAATGGAATTAGGGACAATTTTTAAAATACCCGAAATTTGTTTTTTTCTAAATATCTAGTAAGCCATGAACTTTTTCAAAAATCTGAAAGGCGCATATTTATGACCCCACAAAACTGCAATTCTTTCCCCATTTAACCGACTCTCTATGTCCAGTAGTTTCCGAGATACCCATAGAGAACATCGTAGGAAACTCACCCTGTATAGATATTTTTTTATCTGCAAAAACCTCGATTTATAAGAATAACGCCTATAGTATTTTTTTACATAATTTCTCTACTCAGGCAAAAAAGTAAGATAACTGGTTATTCTATGTCATTTTAAAAATAATAAAAACAATTAATACATATATTTGCATTTGAAAATTGTAATGAAATTATGGTCAATAACTAAAAGACCTGAATGATAAACCTTTATATATCTGTGTAAAGCATAACCTTTAAAAAGGTGTGTTGGTTTAAGAGGTTCTAATAGATAATAATCATCTGATATAAAGCCGGCATAGTTAGTGAAATGTGCATCCAGAGTTTAGAGTAGGTATATGCGAGGGGTAAACACATAGGGCAAAAAGTGTACACCTACATCCTCTCTCCTTAGTACATCCCCTACATCCTCTAGTACATCCTAGGTACATCCCCTACATTCTCGATACATCCTTGGTATATCCCCTACATCCACGGTACATCCCCTACATCCTCTAGTACAACCTCGGTACATCCACTACATCCTCGGTACATACCCTGGAAATCCTCTCATGTGTACACCATAAATCCCCTAAGTGTTCACCCCTCGGGTATATGTTTTGGTGTAGTAAACTAGTGTTTGATTTGGCTTAATTGTCTTTTTGGATATATACATAAAACTATATACCTATAACATTCCCACTTTAAAAATAATAATATACAGTATATGTACATATTGCTAACAAGAAACAGTTCAGTCAAGAAAATAAAGTCATCCTAAGAGGATATGTTTCGAGTGACCATGCAAAGATTAACATCTCTTACATAAGGATAAAATTACCACAATATTGATATATTTCAGATCCACCTTTATACTAACACTAGCGTGTACCAGCGACTTCGTTCGCGTCGAATTAATCATTTGTAATGGTGATGATAAAGCAAAACAAGAATATCCATTAACATACAAACTGGATAAAATTTTCTCACATTTATGTCAGCATGAGAATAAACAATATGGCGATATTATTATATAACTTGGTAATATTTGAGGGGTAGTTTCATCTCGCTGGAATTTGACTTTCGAAAAATCCGTTTGCCAAAAATAAGCTTTTACGTCAAGCAGTTTAAAAGCAGAATCGTGGTTAAGAAATTTCCCAACTTTTTGGAACACTCTGTATGATTTTTTTAAGTTTCAAAATATGTAAAAAAACAAATAAATTATGCTTGTCCAAGCGTTTTCCCGAAAGACTAACTGTTTTTTAAATAACAAATATTGTAATATTTGAGGGGCGTTTTCACGCTCTTGGAATTTTAAATTCGAGAAACCCCTCCTTATCGAACCTCTACACCCCACAGTCAATCCGTTTGCCAAAAATCAGCTTTAAACGTCAAACAGTTTAAGCAGAATCGTGATTACTCATTCATATTTTATGAAACACCCTGTATAAATTTATAAAAAATCTTAAAATATGTATAACAACAAAATAAAATATACGTGTTTAAGAGTTTTTCCGAAAAACTCACCCGTTTTTATATAAAAAATATTTTAATATTTGAGGGATAGTTTCACCCCCTTAGAATTCGAGTTTCGAAAAATTCCTCCTTATCGAATCTCTACACCCCACAGTCAATCCGTTTGCCAAAAATCGGCTTTAAGCAGAATCGTGATTACTCATTCATATTTTATGAAACACCCTGTATAAATTTATAAAAAATCTTAAAATATGTATAACAACAAAATAAAATATACGTGTTTAAGAGTTTTTCCGAAAAACTCACCGGTTTTTAAATAAAAAATATTTTAATATTTGAGGGATAGTTTCACCCCCTTTAGAATTCGAGTTTCGAAAATCCCTTCTTATCGAACCTCTACACCCTAAAGTCAATCTGTTTTCCAAAAATCAGTTTTTACGTCTAGCGCTTTAGCAGGATCGTGATTAATCAATGATCAGATTTTTCGAAATACCCTGTATACATTTTTAAAAAAATCTTAAAATATGTAGAAAAACAAAATAAAATATACGTGTTTAAGCGTTTTTCGGAAACTTGACCGTTTTTTTTAAATAAAAAATATTTTAATATTTGAGGGGTGGTTTCACCCTCTTGGAACTGGAATTTCGAAAAATCCCTTCTTATCGAACCTCTAAACCCTAGAATCAACCTGTATGCCAAAATTGAGCTTCTTACGTTGAGTGGTTTGAGCAGGATCATGATTAATCAGTATGTCAGTCACTTAAGGATTTTATATATTAGTATAGATTAAATGGTATTAACATTTAACGTTTTTTAAAGGCAATGTAATAAATTTATTGATTTTAAAGCTAGGTTTAATTAAGAATTGTACTTAAATTATGAATTATTTTAAGAAAATATATTATTCTGTTTTTATTTGAAATTTTATAATAAGATATTGAACGGTTTAATTAATATTACAGTATTTATAATTTAAAATAAACTGTACTAAATTGTACAGTACAAATCAAAACAGATTTCTGTTAAACTGTAAAAGCTAGCGATGTATTGATTAATGTTGGCGCCATCTATCGCCGCAAGCTCAAAGTGTATGTATCAAATCGATAATTTTGCATACCGAAGAAGAATATCTAGACTTAGTTTATAGAGTCAATAGTCAGGATTTCTAAAGCTGCAGAGATAAAAAAGAATACTTTATGTTACCCTCTATCTTTAATATTTAGAATTATTTTATATATCGATTTCAATGAAAATAAAAAAAACTTTAGATAAATGATACCAATATTTTATAGAACTTGGCACATATGTATGTATATCTATAAAGTAAATCTAAATTAAATAAAAAGCCTAAGAAATAATCGTGTAAGGAATCACCCAACACACTTTTGACCATAAACATATTCGTAATATAAACCATAATGTTGTTTTTTAATATTGAATTTTTCTTATTTGTTACAGATAATCAACAATCGAATCAACTTGGTAGTATTTTATTACCGACCGAAGTTGAGCCAAGTGTCAGCGAAGCGAGTAAGTATATGTTGAACATATTTTCGTCATTTTCAGTATACTATATACTTTAAACATAACGATACGTGGCATAATTTGCAAAGTCATTTATATCCATTTTTAACTGAAAAACCCGACTTCCAAGCAATAAAGGAATTATCAACCGCTAAGCTGTTTATTGTGGGAGGAATTTTAGCTTTAGCAGTTTGCCAACTTTTTCTGACTTAAATTTTTTTTATTGTGCTGAATTTGGTTCTTTTTCCAATCTCTAATATTTATCTACAAGGATCATTCAGTGATGCTAGTGAGGAGTCTGGTACTATGAAAAAGGTTCCATAGTATCAAACCGTTCACTATCATAACTGAAAGATCATTGAAGATAAATATTAGAAATTGTATAAAGAATCAAATGAAGCCCAATAGGAAAATCCTAAGTCAGAAACAGTTGGCAAAACCTTTACTGCTTTCCTTTCCTCTCACAATAAACAGATTGTGTCTAGATCAACTGTCTTTTTACAAAAGAATCAGTTCATTTTCTTTGATATCATCAAGCTCTCCTTTTATATCAGATATGTAAAATCAGGTGTAAAATTCAATAAGAAGAACTATTGACGTTAAACTTAATTGAAGTTAAAATATCTGTACTAGATATTAACTGTTCCGTACGTCTTTAACAAGTATTATTTTAACAAGGTAAGGAAAATAGAATAGGAGTTGAACATAGATAAACATAGTGCCACAAAACTAGCACCAATAATCAGCGTTTTCCGTACCTAAATCCCAAGAAAATCCCAAGAAAATCAAAAAGAATATTTTGAAATAAGGTTCAAGAACTTTAAATTTTTCAAGGTATCACCACAACACTTGATATCACTAAGCTGTCATTCTATCTCTAATTATGATTTCACCACCTTCATTTTTTTTGCCGCAAGGGGAAACATCTTCAAAAGGCACCTGTGCGTTGTTAGGTTCAGGTAGTGTGGGATTTTTACCCGCTAAAAAACCACTTTGAGAAGACCAACTGCTGACCTAGTTGGTATTACTTCAGCACCCTCAGCATCTCCATTTACCTTTTCAGTTACAGATTAACCCTTCTCTCTCCGGATTGTTGCAGGTACTTTCTCTGCTCTTCTTTGACCCTTAAATTCCTCGCAGCCGTGTCACATATGGCGCTCCAGACAACTTCAGATTCCAGCATACGGGGGCAATGCTGTCCGTTGTCAGTCTCCCCCTCCCACCAGATAGTAGAGAGCCAATCGTTCGTCGCTCCAAGGGTACCCAAAAAAGGTGTACCCCGCATGATCCACGTAGTTTCAGTGGTAACATCTTGGTGTGTTGGTTAATTTGAACCGATAGAAATATGTTTCAAATCACCCATGGCCCGATAGGATTTGTGCGAGGAAGAAATTTTCCTCGCCATGTGTTATTTTGATCCAGGGTATTACATCAGGTATCAAACGCTTGGCCCATAGACCCACATGCATTTCAAGCTTCCAACTCTGCTGCCATAGTTCTAAAGTTAATTCCATTTCTTCCAACTTTCCCCTTTTGTCCCTTCTCCATGCTCTGCTTTGCTCATCTGCCTTTAATGCAATTGGTCTGGTTCCTGAAATGACCATCATGGCACTTGTAGAAATTGTGTGGAAGGAACTGTATATTCGTATAGCAATTTTTGGCACAGCTGTTTATATTTCTCTTATTTTAAGGCTTCCAATTACTACCTGTCTGGCAAGGTACGAAGGTGCCGTGTAAAGTAAAATTGTGTGGGTTACAGCACTAAATAGTTTTCTTTTTTGCTTGGTAGGTTCATCTCTGTTCGGCATTAACCTGGATAATAGCAGAGCTGATCTCTTCGTCTTTTTGCAGGCATTTTCTATGTGGCTTCTTATTGCGACTTTCCGTATTCTTGGAAAAATTCCCAGTCTCAGCTGCTGATTCATGAACTCCAAGTTCATGAACTGCTCAGGAATCTGCTCCAACATCACCTTGACCACCTTGATATCACTATCACACTTGATATAACTAAGCTGTCATTCTATATCAAATTTGTAGAATCCATTAAGAAGAACTATTGAGGTCAAAGTTTACTCAAGTTAAATATCTATACTAGAAATGAATAATACCGTAAGTCTTTAAACAAGCATATCTTTAACAATAAAGAGAAAATTTGACAAAAATATGATTTGCGTTAATTGAAAATAAATAACGTATTGTCAAGAAACTAGCACCTTGATGTCATTACGCTGTCATTTTATCTCAAATGTGTAATATCTGTTAAGAAAACTATTGAAGTCAAACTTTACACAAGGTATAATATTAATACTACGAGTATAAATTACCTTTGGAATTAAAACTGTTATCTTAAAATAGTTCCATTTACTCAATTAAAAATGTGGGGCGTTTTTATCTTCTCCTGAAAAATGTTTAAAAAATTATATATCCAGTCCTGCACGCGAGCTCCTCAAGTATGCTAGAAGTTACCTACGCAGTTTAGACAAATGCACTGCAAGAGAAGAATTAAACAAAATAAAAAATCTGTATACTTTGGTTTCGCGCTACATCATTAAATCTAGGGATTCATCTTAAATTTAGCGGACACGTCGTGCAGATTTAGTAATTTCGCTGTTATTAAATGGACCAGCACTATGCCGGTTTGTCTCCGCACCTCTTTGTTTAATTATTTACAAACATGTTGGCGCGCCCTGCGCTGTCTGTAGCGGAAACTGTAAATTGCGATACGTAGTTTAAAACGGAGTAGACTAAATCAACTTTGCATATTTCATAGTGGTCGGCAGCTTGGAGACTACATAATTCAGTGAAATAGGGGACGACTCTGACTTAGGTATGGCAAATCCAACAGAAATGGGTCCCTGGGGTACCCAAACATATCAATTGATTTGGTTTTGAGTATAGGCTTGCTGCATTACCAGCATTACAGTTGATTATAAAAATTTCGACCGCAGCGCTCTATACGACTGAAATTAGAAGTGTCCGACTAAAGTATTTTACGCAGTCCCGTTACTGTTCATGTCGATGGCATTGGAATTATATTAAAATCGTGGCTTTCTCATAATATTTAAGTATTTTAGTTTTTACCACTGCAGTTATTGAAACTATAAGACTCGGGTAGTAAAAATAGTTTCGGGTAGTAAGAATTGAGTGAAAAAGAACCCGAACTGGATGTCGCGTTGTGTTGTGAAAATTTCGATGTTAATAAAATTACCGAAAAAATTTTAACGCGTAAAGGAGGGCGTAATTACGTGGTTGATGGGTGAAATATTCAATAACTCAACTTCCCGAATATTCATCTCTCCCGAAACAACATTTCATAGTTTTACAGGTAAAAATGAATTACTAATAATACAGGGTTGTTCACCACATACGACACGGAGTATTGTAGCTAAACGATTAGATCTGTACAAATTGTAAGTTTTGGGTTCGCTGAAGGATTATTAGAGCTACAATTTAAAAATATTTTATAAGATACAGAGTGTCCCAAATAAGTAAAACATATTATAGTTGTATTTTTTTTAAATGGAACACCCTGTATGTTATTCTATTTTAGGATTCTACGATTGAAATAAAGGTAAATTTGATTAATGTTTATCATACCTAAACCTTACCGTTTTTGAAATATTTTCAATTTTATGAAATTGCAGTAAAAATTTTAAGGCTTCATTTCTCCAAGGGTATCAAAGTTTTTAATACTAAATATTTACTGACGATTATTTATTGATCAGATATCGTGTTGCAATAATAAAAAAATACTACCTTATACGGAGTGTGCAAAAATTTATATTAAATAATTATTAGCTTCAATCGGCAATAACTTGTTTAATTTAAATGGAATACCCTGTATATTTTACGTGAATCATACGCAGAATTTCATTACCTTTCAAATTTTATTATACCATTTTTTACCTGTCTCTTCAAGTTTTCGTAGAAAATGCATTTTCCTATAATTTAGAATTCATTTATCATTATACCCATGGAATATCGACATTTAATTTATTACAACATATATGTACAAAATGTACAGGTGGTAAATATTGCAAGTCCATTGATATACAAAAAAAAACTATTTAAATCTTTGTAAAAGACTACCAATTAAATATACCACCATTATTTCCGACCAAAAATTAGTTAATTACATACTTTTAAATTGTTTTAATTAATAAAGTATTCTAAATAAATGTGGATTTGGCTCAGAAATCAATATAATAATAAGTTATGAAAATGAACGTCTCTGTTTTTATAAAGAAGCATTCATCAAAAAATGAAATAAAATTTATAAGGTGTTACTTTTTACCACACTGTCTAATACACACACAAAATTCAGTTTTTTAGTATTTGGATCAGTTATTATTAATCAACGTAAACAAGCCACGCCCCCTCCGCCGACGCATAAATACGCGCTACGCCGACGCGGAGGCATCAGTCTAGTGTGAGCAATCGGAGCAAACACACCTCTGAAGATGCTAGCCACTCGTGCTAGCGAAACGTTAGGAAGCAATTCTAACCGACGACGGCCTAATAACCCGAAAAACCAAAATTCTTATATCGAAAATATTAGTCTCTGTACTCTTTGAAAATTTGTTACATCTTTAAAAACAATCTAAAATGTCAATATTCCATGGATATAGTGATAAATGAGGTCTAAACTATAAGAAAATGCATTTTCTACGAAAACTTGAAGAGATGGGTAAAAAATGGTATAATACAATTTGATAGACAGTTACATTGTGTATCTGATTCACGTAAAATATATAGGGTGTTCTATTTAAATTAAACAAGTTATTGCCGTTTAAACCTAGTAATTATTTAATATAAATTTTTGGACACTGTATAAGGTACTAAAATTTTTAATATTCCAACACAATATCTAATCAATAGAAAATCTTCAGTTAATATTTAATTAAAAACTTTGATACCCTTGGAGAAATGAAGCCTTAAAATTTTTACTGCAATTTCATAAAATTGAAAATATTTCAAAAACGGTAACGTTAAAGTGTGATAAAACT